CGTCTATATTCGGCTGTTGCCCTTAATTATTTCCAGTAGTTCAGATCAATATAGTCATTTTTATAGTCCTTAAAAAGTGGGCGCACAGTTCGTCAATACTTGTTTTAACCCATTGGGTGTGAAAACAAAAAGGTCTTTCTCCGATTTCCTCTATTGTGCTTCTAGAAATACAAAGGGGTACCTTTCGATTAATGATGCATATACTCTACAAAATTTGACATAGGCTGCAAACAGGTCAAAGTCTTCTGACCGAGTCCTAAATAGAAGCCAGTCTTCAATATAGATTCCAAATAAACCAATTCTCAAATTGCAACTTGTACATGACTCCCCCGAATATACCCACAGGGCCACGGGGCAACAAGGTAACACTCTCAGTTCCATAAGTGTTGGTCTACAAAATAAAAAACACCATTCGTTTACCATCCTATTCTTTGAATAATCGATGGTCCTTTATACCATTTCAAAAGGGTCTCACGTTCCCGATTCGTGTCTACCTCTTCGTATTTCCATGTCAAAATTAAACCATCTAATGTTAGAACAAACTCAAATATTCTTTCACTACGACTACATATATGTTTGTTAACATTCAACCGTTTTGTGAATGGACAATACTTCATCTTTTTCCATCTTCTTATTGAAGTAAATGAGGGCATCCACTCGACATCTGGGACCAGTCGAATGAGGTCAAGCGACGATCTACATACAAATACATAATTAGTTTCTACCATTGACCTAAACGATAGCTACAAATTACTGAAACACTTTACCGATTTAACTATCTGCCATTGCCCGGATATTTAATGCGATAAACACATACGCGGGCCAACGTCTGTTTTGATTTCCATTGCTGTACGCTCGGTTCCTCAAACGTACAAACAGTGCTACGGGGCACATTCGGTTTTGGTTTCCACCTCGGAATTCTTTTTCGATTTGTAACGTTAGTCTAAATTAAATGGAGAAAGTTGGCAAAATACATTTTCATGGATAACGTCCAGTCAAGATCTCTTAATGTCCTTAGGTCTATAAGCGTCTCTCTAAACAAAGAACAATCCACGCCTTTAGCTAACTTTGCTGTAGCCACCACACGTTGCTGGGATACAAGGGCAGGGTCAAGTTTAAGTCTTCTAACACATGCAATTCACGAAGTTTGTGTTCCTCTCTGAACCTGTCAATCCTTTCATTGAATTCCATTTCTTCCAGTGCAATACGTACAGCAAGCCATGGCGGCAAAAACTTTCTGGCTTGTCCCCCCGGGTGTGGCACAGCTTTAAGACTTAGTTCTTGAAGGGACATCATTTTCGATTAAGAAACAAGTTACAACGGTAAAGCGAAATGAGGCTTATTTAATGCTTCTTTTCTTTTTTCTAACTTTGGCTTTTCTTTCATTGGTGCTTTTTGGATTCCCCTGCGACTTTTTCCAACTTTATTGGTTTAGCCTACTTCCTTGTGTTTTTCACACACCTAGCATCTGCACATGGCAAGACACGCTCTGTTGTGCTGTTTTTGCTAACGAAGCTTCAAACAATGAAATGTAAAGGCTTAGTAGACCCCAGAAACA